GGGCATGAAAAGATTTTCAGACTGACTGGTCTCTGACTTCCCGTAATACCCAAGGCTGGAAAGAGGTCCAGCCCGTGTCAGTCACAGGGCATGGCTTCCAAAAGCTGCCCAAAAGGACATCTCAATTCTGAACCCTCGAGGGGCAGGCAGGTACTTCCAGCTGCTGGATTCAATCACATCAGTCTTTTTGGCTGGAAAAAAAAGCCTAGCTGGACTACTGTATCACAGGGAGTGGGGAGGAGATGACGCTCTTGCGGAGAAGGGAGTGGGTGTGAACGGAGAAGCAAGGAAGACCACTTGGGACAAGGGCTTCTTTTCATGCAGGCAACGGAAACCTCTCAAAATGAAAGTGATTTCTGGACAAAATCAGAAGAGGCTGGCAACAGCTTTATGTGCCACTGGCAGCGAAGTCCCCTTTGCTGTTAGCTGGACAGCAATGCAGGCCGCCTCCAGCAACCATCCCTTATAGAACGCACAGGCTGCTTTATCTTCTGACAGCAACTGACGGTGCTTCTAATTGTGCTTTAGTGGAGTTACAGTGGAAGAGACTGTGGATTATTGTGACTGAAGATGACGGGAAAAGCCCTGGTGGATCAGACCACAGGCCGGCCGAGTCCAGCATTTCCACCCAGAACGGCTTACCAGCTCTCCCAGTGGGGAACCTACAAGCAGGATCTTAACAATGTGCATAGCCTGCCAAATGAAATGAAACTACCCAGAAGAGTGCATTAAATTTATTTCTTTATTCAATTATTTAATTTATATGCCACCCACACTACCCAGAGGTCTCTGGGCGGCATATAAATTAAATAAATAAATAGGTGGTGCATGGTGTATATACAACTTCAACATGATAGCACTGTTTCCTCTGAGTTCTCTAGCATTTCAGGGACCTACTGGGGCCAATATTACAGGAAATTTATATCCACCCTGCATGGCAGCCATTCACACCATTCATGAATTTGCCTCATCTCTTCCAAAGAGGTACCGAGGGGCAGGCCTTGTATTTCCTTTGACCACCACTGAATTTAACCTGTTAAGAGTACGCAAAAGTAATTACGCCAGTAAAGTATTTTGTGCAGAGTTAATGATGATGAAGGTTTTTGCACCAAATGGCCGAGCACCCATATTGTCACAAAGAGTGAGCAAAAGCCAGAAGTGCCATGGCTGTCAGTGGCTATGGGCCTTGAGTAATAAAGAAGGGCAGGGCAGCGGGAGGGCTGGAATGGATGAGGGCATCTTCCACAGTTTCATGCCCCTTTAGACTTTGGTGGGCAGGCTCTGCTGTCTTTTCCCAAACATCACTAGAATTTGGGAGGCAAACTGCTTAATAGGTCCAGGAGGAGCAAAACATTCTTTTAAATCATCAGGTCCTTCCTTGCACTACAACCAACCTGGTGACTTTGGGGGCAGCACCGGCCATTCTCCACCCGACAGGGATCATGGCATCAGCATATGGCCCCTGAACCACCACACAACTCCTAGCATGGGCCTAGAGGAAGTAAGAGCAGAACCGAAGTAATAGGCCTGGGATGGTGTAAAAGGAGAGTGGGAAGATCGAAGGTGGCCCTGTGGGTGAAGGAGAAAGAAATAAGCAGCAGGTGGGAGAGTTTGAGGTGGGAGCGAGGAAGGGATCTGGGAGGAAAGGAAGAGGGATCTGAAAGGAAATTCACACAACCAAGGATTTGTAGAGAGGAGAACGGCTGGAGTCTGCAAAACTGATTTAAAGATTCTAGCCACCGGTTATGGGTCCCAATTAATTGCAGACAAATGAAAAATATGTGGAATGCAAGTTCGGTAGCTGGACAATTTTACAAAAGTAGACATTTTTAAAAGGGCAGCTGGTAAAGTGGCGATAAACGGAGGATTTTCCCTGGCCGTACTGAATGGGTTTCCCACGCTGCAGTGCTGGGCTCTTCAGATATTATAACAAGACCCAACGTGTTCTTGGTTTCTCTTTCTCCTTCAGCAAATGCACAGCACTAATTGAAGTCTTACTTAACAGCCTCAACAGAGCTAAATGCTACAGAAGCCCCAAACGGGGTAGTCTGGCCCTCATTTTCCTCTCTGTCGAAACTACTTTGGTCCAGGCGGCTGGGAGCTGCTTCCAGCTATGTTGAAACAGGATAATAAATAGGTTGACATAAAAATAATTCATCAATAGCGAAAGCTGTAGGAACTACTGAGGCAGGTTTTTCCGCCCTGCCTCGCTGGGGGGGAAAAGGGAGGATCAGAAGCTTGAAGACATTCAAAGGGCTTTGAAAAGTACCTCCCTCTCTCGTCAAAGACAAATTACAGTTCTGAAAAGTCCCCTGCTAAGAAACCACTAAGGGCTTGTCTCCCTCTGCTGGTGTTTAAATATAGATGCGAGGGAATTTAAAACACAATACACCCCTCGACTTTCCCCACACCTTTGAAGAGAAAGCCATAATCCCGCCGTCAGAAGGATAGATGAACGGATTTAAGAGAAAGGTGGATTAGAAGGCTGCTTTCAAGTGTGGTTTACAGGCATGCATAATTCCAGACTCGTTCCTTTTTTGGGAGTTTCTTGAATTGTTCGGGATTTACTCTCCCCCTCCCCCTCCGCTGAGGGAAGGAGGAGGGGAGAGCATGCAAGAGAGCTTCTTGGCATTATTTTAGTCCTCGCTTCCAGTCATCCTTCATTAAGTATTTATCCGGCGTTTTGGAATCAGCGGTGGAGCGTGTCAAAGTACCTGCTTTCGACGCGCAAAAAGCATGGAGATTTTACGATAGAATGGCTCCTGCACCGTCTAAGAGGATGCGGCGCCTGGGAAGAGAGGCTCTGGAAGGAGGAAGGGCCCTCGCGAAGCCCTTGTGCCCTCCCCACCACCCAAATTTTTCTGATTCCCTCCTCTCTAAACTACTCGCCCCTAACTTACTGAAAAGGCTGGCTTAGCTTGTTCTGATTAAGGACTGGTCTTTCTCTGTTACGTTTACTCTAAGATAGGTTGCCCCACTGTCTTTCAAAGAGAGAAGGAGCCCAAGGGAGCGAAGGGCAGGCATGGCGTCTGTAGTTGTCTTGTGCCATCATGTCACTTCTGTCTTGGGGCAACCCTAATAGGGCAGGAAGGCGTGGGAAATCTTCGAGGGGTGCTCTATCACTGCCCTGCTCCTTAGCGCCCATAGTCAAACAAGTCGGTGCCTGGACCCTAGTCTGACTGTTTACGACAACATGTAACCTAGCGCCTCTCAGCATAAAATCTAGGTAGGGGAAAGTAAAAGAGAAAACACGATTGGCAAAATATCCACCTACATCAAGGGCATGTGCATTTGTGTGTGTTCTTATGGGGTCCCAAATGGGAGAGGCTTTTGCGTTTTTTTAAAAAAAATGTTTACAGGGGGCAGAAATTCCTCGCCTCCATATGCCCCCTGAGATGTTGTCAAGAGTGCAGGATGGAGATCGCCCCAATGGGTTCCGATGGGGCTGATACCATTGCAAGGAGATGCTGTTCCTGGGGCTGAGCCATCCAGCATTACGGACAGGCGGCAGAATTTGCTTCTGGCTTCAAAAACTCTTTGCCGCAAGAGCTTTGCCTCTCTGGCACGCTACAGCCGGATGACGAGGCTGGGCTAGTGCTGCCCGACTTAGGTCAACCCTTTCCAGGATTACCTGTACCTGTTCATGTCTCAATTTTTAAGAGCAGCGGGTAGGCAAAAATAACTAGAAGAAGCCTTTCATTCAGGCTAAAGAAAAAGCCACCTGCCTTGCACATTCAAGCCCCGAGATAATCAATTAAAAAAAAAACAACCAAGCCTTGGGGCGAGTTCCCTGTTTGCAGGGGAGGCAAATTCTCAGGATCAGCTAACACTAGGTGTCACTCTCTCCATATGTGAAAAAAAGGAAGAAGTCGGTTTTCAAAACATTGGCTTTCCTTTGCTCATCAGGGTGAAATTAAAGGTGAAAACAGGAATAGAGGAAGAAGCCCCACTATCCTAGCGGCATCTGCACGGTAATTAAAAAAGTCATCTTGGAAGCCACAAAACATTCACAGAGAGAGGTGTGTGTGTGTGTGTGTGTGTCTGTCTGTCTGTCTGTGTGTGTGTGTGTGAGAGAGAGAGAGAGAGCGTACAACGATACAGAATGATGTTTGTGAACAGAAGTAACAAATACAAAAGTACAGCAAACGTAATATGGCAACTTTGTTCTTTTTCACCCGCCCAAGGAAAACATTTTTGGTGGTTGAGTAAGACATTCTGTGCTGCATGTTTCTTAAAACGCTTGACATCTGTTATTGCTTCACATCGTTACAATTCCTCACCAAGTCGGTTCGGCTGATGGTGTCATCTAAGGTTGCAAATGAACATTTGAAAATCTCCTTGTAAATTGCAGGAAGATTTTTCATTCTTGTCTCAGAACAAAATGACCGATACTTCAACTATTTTTTTGGGGGGGGGCAGGAAAACCTCATATTTTACATGAAAACACCTTGTATTTTGCATGCAATAGAAGGGTGGTGTTTTTTTTTTTTTTTGCACCAAATGTAAGTTTTTGTTCAGACGCTCCTGAAAGCTAACCTGAGTAATCTTTAATAATGTGAAGTCTGTTCCCTTATAATGCATGTCACCACTTCAGCGCTGCTGTTAGGGTTATTTTACAACTGGGGCTAGGACTGAGGCCTACATCCAGCATTACATACTGGTGGGACTGCTGGGATTACTGGCTCCATCCCTTCCTGGGGCAGTCCTCGGAATGAAACAGCTCCAGTGGCTTTGGGGTGTTCAGTGAATGGGCTGCCCCGGAGGAGGAGGAGGTCCGGCCTGTTTTCCATTCTGGACGGTGATGCGGCACGAGCAGACATCTGGCAATCACGGACACAGCTGACCAGCCACGGCTTCCCAGGCTCTGAGGAAAAGTTATTTTCCAGCGAGCCATCCTCAGGCACGCATGCAAAGCAAACGGAGACCTTTAATTCGATGTTTAACCGCTCTGGGAGAGAGGCAAGAAGTGTAGGAACAAAAGACAGGATCCCAGCACCTACCTTCAGCGTTTTCACGGCCACGGTGAGGTTATACTTCTTCCAGACGCCTTCGTACACCTCCCCGTACTGTCCCCCTCCCAGCTTGTGTTTCATTGTGATGTCCGTCCGCTCGATCTCCCATTTGTCATAGTTTGGAGACACACCGTAGATGGTGGGCTTGTTCCTCTTTGGAGCCGGGTAGTGGAGAGTGGTGATCAAGCCGTCCGCGACGGTGGAGTGGTGGTGGACCAGCTCCGCTAAAGTGTTGAAGCGGCTCTCCGAAGAGACGTACAGCTGGGGAGGCAACCACAAAGAGACAGCGGATCACTAAAGCTCCCAATGACTGCTAAAAGCTCTCTTAAACCAGGTGGAGGTTTGGGACCCTTCTCACCCACTCTGCTTGGGGGCCATCATCCTAAGAACAACAAAATGAAGTCACAGTCGGCTGGGGCCTGTAAAGATTTCAACAGCTCACAAACCTCGAGGTTTTTATCAAGGCTTTTTTCTTGCTCACCCTCTTTCGCTGGCTAGGAAAAAAAAACAGGCATCAGAAACTTGATTATTTCTCTACTGAGCCTGCTATGGCTGCGGCCTTCTAGAATCTTCAGCAGAGAGCCTCCCCTCTTCACCTGCTACTCCACCTTTCCAGCTGCAGGTATCCGGGACTGAACCCAGGGTCTTCTGCAGGTGAAATCTCTGCTCCGAAGCTCAGGTTGCATGCTCTCCAAATGGGGCCCAGACATGATTCTTACTGATGCATGTCATATTTAAGTTAAAAAGCCCATGTAAATCTGCATGGTCTCCACGGTCCGCCCACCGGCAGAGAAACAAAAAAAGGGCAAGAAGGGGAGGGAGGGGTGGAAATGACTGAGAATCTCACTTCATGAGCTGTTGAACCTTGGCGGCTCTGAATCAATGGCAAGTGACATCCTCAGCCATCCATCCTTACATCTGTCCGCCTGTTTTTCCATGGGGATCTCCCTGCAGAGGGAGGGCTTTTCTGTTGGATGACTCAGGAGGAGGGCTACGCTACATCCCCCTGTGCATTCTGCGGACACGGCATCTTCTGCAAGGATCCTCTTGAGTCACTGACTGTTGTAGGTGGTGGGCTGCTTCCCCCCCCTTGCAACAATCTTGGGACAAATCACCCCCTCTTCCAGCTGCCGGGCTACACATTTCAACCAACCCTCTGTTTCCACGCCATTTTGATACGTCTCAGACGGAGCCGATCCTCTGCACCCCTGCCCACCCCAGCCACCAAAGCCAGTTGTCCCAATTCTAAGGCTTTGCAGACATAAAATTCCACAGCAAAAATACGGCAGTCTAGGAAAGCAGAAGGGAAGAGCCGAGCTTCTGCCGGGCCCTCCATCCCCACCCCTAAGCATGGAAATAGTTATATGGTATATTTTTTATCATTCTTATTTAATCCAAGAAGTAGGTCTGCAGAGAATCTTATCTCCCTCTGCTTCCTTCACCGTACTCATTTATTATTACTATTATGTTAATTTTTGAAAAAAATTGGTTCTGATCATAGGCCACAGGCTGTTTGCTTTAACAAATTCTCCTTGTCGGTATCTATTCTTGACAACGCTGATTAAAACAACTCTGGGGAGAGCAAAGTTATTAACCTGCTTAACACAGATCCAAGCTGATTACTGCAGTGCGCCTTGACTGTCCCCTTAGCACAAACGCTGAGGTGGGAAATGCAACAGGGCCCCTTGTGGCAGAACTGTAACAGGCTGTTCATGGCCAGACATCCTGCCGTTGGTGCGCCATGAAGTTCCACAGCCCTGCGTTGGTGGAAGACAATTTCACAGAATCGTAGAACTATGGAATTGGAAGGGGCCTACAAAGCCATCAAGTCCACATCAAAGCAGATCTGACAGAGGGTTGTCCAATTTTTTTTCTTGAAGGCCTCCAGCATAGGAACACCCCCAATCTCCTGAGAAGACGAGGTCCATTGTTATACTCCTCTAAGAGTTAAGAAGCTTTTCTTGATATTCAACCAAAATTTGTCTTCCTTGAGTCCATTATGATGTGCCCTGCATTTTGGGATGATCGAGAACAGATCCTGCCTGTTCCCTTTAAAGTATCTGAAGCAATCCTATCTCCCCTCCATCTTTTTTCCCCTCAAGGCTTAAGTATCTGAAGCAACCCTATCTCCCCTCCATCTTTTCCCCCCTTAAGGCTAAGTTTGCCCAGTTAGTGAGAAAGTAAAGGTCCAGGTTACACATGGATATGGACTCACCTTCCCATCCGATGCAGTGTTTATCCTGTAGCTTTTCTTGATATTCAACCAAAATTTGTCTTCCTTGAGTCCATTATGATGTGCCCTGCATTTTGGGATGATCGAGAACAGATCCTGCCTGTTCCCTTTAAAGTATCTGAAGCAATCCTATCTCCCCTCCATCTTTTTTCCCCTCAAGGCTAAGCTTGCCCAGTTAGTGAGAAAGTAAAGGTTCAGGTTACACATGGAAAGAACTCACCTTCCCATCCGATGCAGTGTTTATCCTGTAGTGGTAAACCCTTCCCTCGTATCTCAACGATATGGACCTCTGCCCTGGACTGCTCTCACTCTCGCGCACCAGAAAGCTGCCATTGATGCCACTGCTGAGCAGGTACTCGGCAGCATTCCGTGACACCGGCCCATGGTACCAGGAGTGCTTCTCCAAGCTGTTAACAGGGGTGATGTAGTTGCTCGGGACCCAGCCCTGCCCATTCTTGGTTTGGGCTTCGCACCATTCTCCATTATGGTTGTATCCCAAGACACGAAGCTTTTCACCTTTGTATTAAAAAAACCAACAACACACAACCCCAATCAATCCATCAGTCAATCAACCCACAATATCATTCAGTGTTTATTTTGACATATATAGGTACAAGCTGCAGGCAACAATGCAACTAGGGGGAATCAACAGCATTGACGACAACAACAACAACAACAACAACAAAAAGACTTAGAAGAATAGAAACAGCTTAATTTGAGAATTAGAAATGTTAATACAATGCTACAAATCATAAGCTTATTATTCTCCTGTCCATTCCTTTGCTCAATCACATTGGGAAGTTTGTGCAGGACCGGCATGGATACGGACAACCTCTTGCTTGCAGGAGTGTGCACTGAAGGGGGTCCTAATTGAAGGGGCCCCACTCAAGGAATGAGTTTCAGCAGCGCAGATCAAAATGGCTTGTCTGAGCTTTCCATCTGCCCGTCACACATTTGGACGCACCCAGCTGGCATACTCAGTTAATTAATTTAATTAATATCATTTATTGTCATTGTAAGTATATACATAATATACACATTCAATGAAATTCACACAGACACCCAGAGACCAGACCCACATGCACACACATTTAAAAAAAATTCCCCAAACACTCCCCACCCACTAAAAATCCCCCACTAAAAACACAAACATCTGCACTGCAGGCTAAGTAACACTGTCCAACTGTTCACTACTGATGGTCTTTAACTTAATTATTAAGTGCAATTATAGCTCTGGGATAAAAACTACTCAGAAAACGTGTGGCCCGAGTTTTAATTGTTCTGTATCTTCTGCCAGACGGCAACAGTTCAAAGAAGTTGTGAACAGGATGGGAAAAGTCTCTAAGGATGTTGTGTGACTTTCTCAGACAGCGGGATGTGAAGATGTCACCCAGGGTTGATAGTGGGAGCCTGATGATACTCTGGGCAATTTTAATATTTCTCTGTGCAGTTTTTTTGTCCGCTACAGAGCTGTTCCCAAACCATACGAGAATGCCATAGGTTAGGACACTCTCAATGGTGCTACGATAGTAGGACAGAAGTAAATGCTGAGATAAATTTAACTTCCTGAGCATTTTCAGGAAATACAGCCTCTTCTGAGCATACTAGAGTCAGCCAGAAATTAGCAAAAACTGCTTGTGTTATTTCCTTCATGCACACACTATTTTTACATAGAATTCTGTTCAGTAATATTTAACCGTTGCAGTCCAACACAATCTTTTGCAGACAGGAAAGTTTATGTCCCACTAAATTGGACCAGTTTTTCATGGTCCCATAACTGTCTTTTGCTGCAGCGACCGAATATGTTTGCTCCTCTGGGAAACTAGCTGTCTGTGCCAACAAAAAGGAGTGAAGCAAAGTTCACCTGGAGTTCAGTTCTCTCAGAAGCTGCAGGCTTTCCAGTCCATGCACAAGGGAACAAGAGTAGATAGCCAATCAAAGAATAATGGAAGGGGCCTTTAAGGCCATCGAGTCCAATCTCTTGCTCAATGTGGGACTCAAAATCATGACAAACAATTGCCTAGCTTTTCTCTTGAGATCTCTTTTGAAATTTCTGGGTATGACAGTAAATGCAATACGATTTTTAGAATGAACAAAGAATGGGTAAATTTTCAGGGTGATTCCTACTCCTGATTCCAGAGCTTCTGCCCTTCTATCTTGGTTCTCCCACAAGCTTCTCAGGACTGATGCCTAAACAGATTTAGACTTGTAGAGACTTCTTACCTTTGGTTATGCTGAGGGTGTTGTCGCCGCTCGCTACAAAATCGTAGAGGGCCACAAAAAGATTGGGGTCATTTTCACTGGGACCAGAAAGGAGATTCTCCTTGGAGTTCCACCGGGTAGCTTCGCTCAGCCCCTGGGGCTCAAATTCGGAGACTACCGGCCTCTGAAGCGCTTCTGTAAAAGAAAGTGAAAGGGAAGGGAGAGGAAAGAAAGGGTCATTCTTAGACAGCATCGTTTAGGTCTTTCCCAGCCTTCCCATTTCTAACTCATCATGACTTTTGCACGATGCTTTACAAGATGCTTTGGCTGGAGACACGGCACTTATAAAATACACAAACAACCCCACACCAAATGATGTTTAAAATGGAGGGAGGGACCAAAAACCAAGTCCATTCAGGTGCCTGTGCAACATCTGATCAGGAGACTCGTCTGTCTCATTTACAACACAATGGTTGTATAACATCAAACTCTCATGTGCTAAAAGTAAACTCAGGCCTCGCCAGACTCAAAAAACAAAGAATATCAGGGAAGCTTCATGATTGGCCTTTCCAATCCTGTCAAAGACATAAAAGAAGGCCACCACCCCCTTTTGCTTTGCACCCTCAGTCCAACATTTTAGATATCATTAGTGCTTTTATTTGACTGATGGGTTGGATTTCAATCCCACCTCTCTCCCCTCAAAACCCAGGGCAACTCAAGGCAACTCTGGGTAACGCTGAATAAAAAAAATTATGTCTAAAACACAAAACACAAATATGAAAGTGGAATTAAATGAAAGGCATGGTTTGAAATAAAGAAAAAACACACCTGCCAGGAAAACACAACACCTAACTGCTAAGAAGCTCCTTCATCACCGGCCACTCTGTTGTCAAAAGTGTTCTTGAGTATAAAGAGGATGAAAGAGAAATAAAATTACAGTGAAGAGTAAAAACCAACTATCACTCAAGGGGCTGGCACAACTCCATGCAACTCTTAAAACAAATTACATATTCCCCACTACCATCCAAACATGGCAACAAAATCTGTTTGTTTGTTTGTTTGAGTTCTGCTACATTTCTAGTTCTTCTTTCCTCCAATAAACTCAAATGGCATATACAGGTCCTCTCCCCCTCTCATGTTATCTCCCACAAACAACACTTTGAGGTTGGTCTTATGGAAGCTGCACACTTACCTGCATTTAATTTTTAAATGAAAACAGTTTATCTTTAACAGTTTTTTTTTAAAAAAATTAAAATAACTTCCCTTGTCAGAGTGAATGTGAATTTTTTTAAGTGTTGCTTCTGCAGGGCCTGCAGTATTTGTACACTACAATTTATATATTGTTACTTCACATAGTCAACAGACGTCCACGTAGTTTGGGTTTTGTAAGGCTCGAGGGATGATACCCAGTAAATGAAACAGAAGCTGTAGGTCAGACTGGGACAGAATGAACGGCCTAACACCACCCAAAGAGTGTCATGGCTTAGTTAAGACCTGAAACTGCAATTTCGATTGCCTGCCACATGAAACACTATGCTACTCCCTCTACCGCAAGATGGACTCTCCCTTGACTTAAGCTAAGGTTGGACTGTTATCCAGATCTGGAGCAGGAAGCTGGTCCGCTCTGCTCTGCCAGTCTTCAGTGTAACCGTCCCTACATTAGCAATAATCAGAAGAAGAAGAGGAATGGAAGGAAATCTGTTAAGCTTTTAAACAGATTTTTTTTTAAAGCATATGTGAGGGAGAGAGGAGGAATAAAGATTGGGCGTGCAGAGGGAAAACCGTGAAGACCTCAGATCATTATATGCGATAGATACAACATAACAGCTTGAACTTTAATCCAGTTGGGGCATCCATAGGCACATTTTGCTGAGGCACATTTTTAAGAGTTTGTTCTAGCAAAATGTTTTGGCTATAACAAGGAATTCTTGGGATAAGAACAAAAATAAATGTTAGCATACACTGCCCTCTCTTCCTCCTCTTAATATACAGGCAGGCAGGCTGACACACACACATGCATACACTATTACTGCAAAAGCCATTAACAAAATACACGGTCTCTTGAATTTGCCTTTAATTCCAAAAGAATGAGTTGCTCAAGTCTACAGAATATTACAGGATGTATCACTCTAAGGGGTGAGGGAATTAACTGAACTTAAAGATGTATTCACCTCTAAATTTCTAGCACGGGGACGCAGCTGCAGCCATTAAAAGATTTTGCAAAATTTCATTTCGTTTTAAATTCTGGAGTCCTTTCTTGAGGACTACAGGCAGAGGCAGACTGTAATTCATTGGACAGGGCACTGGGAAGAAAATGGCAGACTCAATAAGAGTAAAGTTTTATGAAAGTACTGTAATATGGATCAGGCAGTAATAGACCTCTAAGTTTCTGAGATCCTGGAGAACTCCAGTCAGTCAGAAAAAAATAAACTGGACTAGCCAAACAGAAAATCTACCGTCACGGCCAAAAATATTGGCATTCTTGCAATTCTATAAGAGGGAGTAAAATGGCATCTTATATTCCTATAATGAGAACTGTTGAAGCATCTGGTATTTCGTAGCTTCACAGGGAAAAGATTGCTAAAGATCTAGCCAGCTTCTAAATACAAGAGGTCAATTTCCTCACGTCCAGTTTGTGGGCTTTCTCCCAGGCATCAGGTCGGCCACTGTGGAAACCAGGGCATCGGACCAGAAAGGCCCTTGGCTCAATCCAGCAGGGTTTTTCTGCCTCCTGATAAAAGTCCGATAGGACTGTACACGGTGTGGAAGCTGAGGACCCCTTCTTCTATAAAGTCGTCCAAAATTGCACATGTTCTTCAAAGGCTCCCAACACACTTATATGAAGGCACGTTCTAGTTATTGAACTGCAAGTGGGAATCATTCTTATTCTCTTATTTTGCCTTATCCTTCCAAGGTTTGTTTTGCCTCTAAAAATAAACATGGCAGCCCAGCCAAAACAATTCAGCTTTTAAACATACGTACCAGGCGCTTCAGTCTATTTCCCTCTGCTTCCTTTTCTTTCCCCCCCTCCTCACAGATTACCCGTTTTGTCACCCCTGCTGTGCTTTAATGGCAACAATGATAGAAGAAACAGAAAAGCCACCGGGAGAAAATTAAGCTGATTAATCACTTTACTGCAAAGAATGCTTTGATCTTTGCAAGCCCATTAAAGCTAACCTATCCAACAAGAGGCGCCATATGGACTGGACACCATCCAAAAAAAGAGAAGTCCCTGTTACATCATCAGCTGGGTAAACACCTGAAATAAACAGACAGCAAACAGCTGGAGGTTGTGGTAGAGCTGCATCCGTTTAAGAGCCTGCTGCTATGATTTAAAAAACCCAACTCTTCCTCCTTCCTTTGGTCCACCCGCAAAGCATAGGTTGTACTGTAAACTGTACGCAGTGGGATGTCCTGTAACCTTGGTCAGCAAGGAAAAAAAAGGTCTCCTGCTAGAAACTGATTCAACAGGAAGACTGGAAATCATAGGCTCTCTCCCTTCCAATTACATGGAAACCAAGGACAAAGGGGGATGGGTCGTGTCATTTCCTGAACCAAGGTCCTGGAGAGATGCCAGACCATAAACTGTGAGAGCTCTTCTCTCACTCCTAGCCTGTGCTGGGAGTCAAATGTGTCAACCCTCTGTGTGGTTCTCCAAGCACACTAAGCTACTTGCTCCCTTTTCCAGCTAGAATTTCCATAGCAAGCTTTAGAGTACCGAAATTTGAAAACTTGCAAACTCTATCACCACCCAGAATGCATCGACCTCACCAGATTCAGGAAGCTAAGCAGGGTCTGCCTGGTTATTACTCAGATGGAAGCCCACCAGAGAACACCAGGAACCTTCAGGTAGATGGCCCTGCTTGAAACTCTGGAATTCGACTCCCAGCAGAATTCACAACACTACGCTAGACACCGACAGTCTGGTTGCAAGACAGAAATTCTCTTGCTTAGCATAATAAGTCATATCCAGAATAATCCCTCTGTTTCAATAGGGATTTGGCAAATCAACCCCTCCGTAAATTCCACCGATTCAATGGACTTACTCTAGTTGCGACTTAACTTTGCTAAGGAACAGGATTCCAGCCATTATATGGCAATTTCTAAAGAAGTATCTGTGTTCATTTTTCTCAGCCTCTTGGCAAAAATTAAAGGGGGAAAATGGGTGGGGGAGAGAAGGCAGGAAAATATTGAGGTATGTTAAAGATGAACAGATGTATTTTGGTATGAGTTTTTGTGGACTAAAATCTACTTTTTCAGACACCCATAACGAATTTCAACAGGACCTTCATTTTGGGTTTTTGTCACTGTTTTTCCTCTGTGGAAAGATAAACGTTCTTTGGGTTTATCTTTTATACAGTATTTGCATATTTCCAAGGTGCAGTATCAGAACTGGCATATTGGGGTATGTTAAAGATGAACAGATGTATTTTGGTATGAGTTTTTGTGGACTAAAATCTACTTTTTCAGACACCCATAACGAATTTCAACAGGACCTTCATTTTGGGTTTTTGTCACTGTTTTTCCTCTGTGGAAAGATAAACGTTCTTTGGGTTTATCTTTTATATTTGCATATTTCCAAGGTACAGTATCAGAACTGGCCACTAGAGAGAACCAGAGAGCACATGTATATATTTTTTTCTGGCCTGCTGGTACAGAAAAACAGTGCAATAACACTGCACACGCTACAAGCTAACGAGAGCCATTATAATTATAATGAGAGCAATGACAAATGTTAAGAGCAATCTTGCTGTCTAGATGCAAAAACCTCCAAGTTTGGGTGTGATTTTCCACATGTACCCAGAGAGCTTCATTACTGTTCTTGAGCTCAGAGTTGAAGCCTTATCTATAACAGCCTAGTTCACTGTCCTTGCAAAGATCGTTCTTCACTTCCATCGTGCAATTTCTCTCTAAAACTTGGAAAACAGCCTGCCTTTCTCTCTCTCTCTCTTTCAAACTTCACTTTTTGCCTTGATTTCCTTCCCCCAGAAGAGCATCTGTTGCAAATGGAGAGCCAAATTCTTTAGATCACTATACGACCATCTTATTTTGTGGGAGACATATATGCACATTCCTTAAGGCTGGGATTACATTTCACTATCCTGGCGACTCTATAGCTCTGGATCAGAACCAATGCAGGCAGGTTACAGCAACATAAACCCACAACAATTCCCTTCGGCTTCCATCTGTTTAGA